AGTAGCAAAGCCCTGTTTTCTTCATAGCGTAGGAGTGTAATATGAATCTAGAACATAAAGCCGACTTAATAAAAATAAATCGCAATGAAATGCAATTATTTTTCAGTTTTATGGAGAGAATAGATTACAAGGGAGGATCGTCGAGCTTAAAATAAAAGACATCGGTTCATGATCTTTGGATCCGCTTGTGTCACATCAATTATCAATAATGATCGATCTTCTTCGGTTCATTAGCACCCAGGCCACCCAGCGAAATTTCACATTCAAACACGGCCAGATGTTCGTGTTTTGACTTTGAGGAGAGTAGTGGATGTTAATTTCGATTTAACCGAGGAAACCGAATGTTGATGTTGTCCGGTTTATTTTTAGTGTTTGCGATAATGTTTGGTGTTCCTGTGAACCGGTCGTGGGCGGCCGAGGGGATTTGAAATCTCGTCACAAACTATTGGTCTGATCTCCCAACGCTCATTATTATTAGTCAGGCTTTTTATCTTTTTATTTATTTATTTTCATCTTTGTCCAATCAGGAGATAAAAAATAATTGCCACAGTACAAAACTACATTAGAAATTTACAATTATTCTACGATATATTGGGTTGTCCGGAAAATAATGCAGGATTTTAAGTTTTCATTAAAAAAAATCTATATAAAATATTCTGTTTACGTTTACAGGATTACTCATTTGTATGAATGTCAACACTTATTAATCCTCTTCCAAATGATATTGTTTGTTTACCTCTGTAGCATTCCGCTACTTGGAAATAATTCAGTCATCCTTATAATGTCAAAGCGAGAATTTCGTACGATTTTCTTTTACGAGTTTAAACTCGGCCGAAGCGGAGCCCAAACGGCTAGAAACATTAACCAAGTCTGGGGCGAGGGTTGTGTTAATGAGTGCACTGTGCAAAGGTGGTTTAAAAAATTTCGGGAGGGAGATTTCAGCCTTGAAGATGAAGAAGGTCGTGGAAGGCCTTCCTCTCTTAATGATGATGTTCTGCGATCAGTGGTGGAAGAAAACCCCAAAACAACTGTTCGAGAACTTGCAGAGCAACTCAAAGTCAGTAAAACGACCGTCGCTGACCACCTCAAGGCGATGGGAAAGTGAAAAAACTCGAAAATTGGGTTCCACACTCATTAAACGATCGCCAAAAAATCAGCGCTTTGATGTTTGTGCATCACTTCTTTGTCGAAACAAAAATGACCCATTTCTGGCCAGAATTGTTACATGTGACGAAAAGTGGATTCTCTACGATAACACTAGACGTTCTGGACAGTGGCTCGACAAAGGAGAAGCTCCAAAGCCCCCAACTCATCAAAAAAAGGTAATGGTTACGGTATGGTGGGCTTCATTTGGTTTAATACACTACAGCTTCTTAAATCCTGGCGAAACCATCAATGCTGAATCATACTGTAACCAAATTAATACCATGCATCAGAAATTGGCAGTAATGAAGCCCTCTTTGGTCAATCGGAAAGGGCCCATTTTGTTGCATGACAACGCTCGACCACATGTGTCACGTGTAACGTCACAAAAATTATTGGAGCTTGGCTATGAAACTTTGCCTCACCCACCCTACTCTCCGGACCTCTCGCCTACTGACTACCATTTTTTTAGACACCTGGACCACTACTTACAACACATAATATTCAAAAATCAAACGGAACTGGAAAATGCATTTATTGACTTTATCAATTCTAAAAATTCTGAATTCTACTCAGACGGAATTAATAAGTTACCAACACGTTGGGAGAAATGTATTGAGAGTATGGGAAATTATTTTGATTAAAGAACATTGCTTTAAAGTAACTAGTTTCTTTTTTTTTGTTTAATACCAAAATCCTGCATTATTTTCCGGACAACCCAATAGTTGTTTTTCAATTAAATTACACTTGCTGTTTATACTCAAATACCAGGGATACGTGATACTTTTATTTATTAAGTGTTACAGCGTAGAACATGTGTCCTTTTTTCCTGCTACTGCTGCTAATTTAAATACATATTATCTCTTGGTAATTTAACTTAAATATCAAGATTACAAAAAATTATAATACAGTGGAGTGCAGCAAATATAACATAAAAATAAGTGGAATATATTAACTTAAGCATAATGATACTACACGTATACAGTAATGAAAATACAGTGTAGCATATTACTATAGCTTTAATACTTTTTTTGAATAATAATCAATAACTAATGTAAATATATTATCAATGTAACAACAAAATTTAAAAAACAACCACGAAAAAATCATTTAAAAAAGCAACTTAATAGATGAATAAATAATAGATGTAAGAAATACACGAATGTATAAGTACTCAAATTCATCATTGAAGCTTTAAAGTAATACTCGTGATAACAACAATTAAATTCAATATTAACAGGTTATGTGTGGTGATTAGTGACCGTTAATCGATATTTATTTAGAAATCGTGAGATGGGTCTGGTGTGATGTAGGTACAAACAATGTTTGTAAATCCCAGGCCCTGAAGATGATCTCAATAAAGATCGAAACGTTGGCACGATAAAGAAAATGTTTTTCTGAAACCTACATTACACCAGACCGCATCTCACGATTTCTAAATAAATAAATTAACAGGTTATTTCCAGTGTAGAGATGAGGGTACATAATAATGAAAGAGAGTGCTAAAAGAACAATTACATATTGGAGAGAGAGAGAGAGAGAGAGAGAGAGAGAGAGAGAGAGAGAGAGAAGGGAAAGAAACTCAGAAAATGATGGAAACCGCGAAAAAAGAGAAGAATAAAAAAGAAAAGGCAGGGATAGATCGATTAGATAGAAACAGAGATAGAGAGAGATCAAAAGTGAATAAAAAGTGAATAAGAAACGGAAATATAGGAAGTGTGTATTAAACAAGAGTTAAAATCATGGATAAATAGAGAGATAGAGAGAGAGAGTGTGTGTGTGAATCGAGTTAGGAAGAGGGAGAGAAAGAGAGAGTGAGGGGGGAAAGAAACTGAGAAAGTGATGGAAACCGTGAGAAAAGAGGACGAGTGAGTTAAAGGAGTTAAGACATGGATAAACAGATAGAACGAGAAGTAGTGTGAGTAAAAGTAGAGAGTGAGAATCGAGATAGATAGAAAGAGGGAGAGAGACTGAGTCTGTGTGCGCGTGAGTAGTGGTATCATTCGCTTTCTCTCACTCCTATTCTCTATTTTTTGTCCATTCACTCTTTCTATCTAAATCTCTATCCATCTCGGCTTCTATATCTACTTACATTGCTCACTGTACCTACTTGCGAATGAGTGGTATCTAGCTATGTAATCATACCACACAGACATACTATTTATATTTTTACATACATACTATATTTTTCTTTAAATTTGCATTTCTCCTTCACCTATCTTTCTCACTAACCTCCTCTATTCCCCTTGCTTGTACTCTTTTCATTCACTTTTGATCTTTCTCTATTTCTTTATTATGTCTATCTAATCTAGCTATCCATGTCTTTTCTTTTTACTCTTCACTTTTCTCACTGTTTCTATCACTTACGCAGTTTCTGTCCCTTCTCTCACTCGCTCTCTCTCTCTCTCTCTCTTTCACTCTCTCTCATTCTTTCTCTCTCTCTCACTCTTTCATTCTCCCTCTCTCTCTTTCACTCTCTCTCTCTCTATCTATCTATCTCTCTCTTTCACTCTCTCTCTCACTCTTTCATTCTCCCTCTCTCTCTTTCACTCTCTCTCACTCTCTCTCTTTCTCTTTCTCTTTCTCTTTCCCTTTCCCTCTCTCTCTCCCTCCCACTCTATCTATCTCTATCATCCATCCCCCTCCCCCGTCAACTTTTCGTTGAAGTTTTTCTCGTTAAATTTTCTCCTTAAGTGTAAAAGAAGTCATTCGCGAGATTTTTAAATAAAACAATATTCATTAATTAATTCTCCTTCATTCAGTCACTCTGAAATCACTACCCTTTCGCCCTTTCTTCCGTCAGTTTATCTCTCTCACTCTATATTTCTCTCTTATCCTCTCTCATTCACTCACTCTCACTCTCTCTCTCTCTCTCTTCCTTTCTTTCTTTCTTTCTTTCTCTTCACGTTAAATAGTAGAAAAGTCCAAGAGGCCTAATTTTTCATAATTAAATAAAGCAAATAAAGCGATCAATCAAGTAATCGCTTTCTATCCCTCTTTCCACTATGTGAGTTTCTGTTTTTTCTATTTTCTAACTTTCTCTATCTATCGATTTCTCTATATGCATACAAACACACAAAACATGAGCAAAATCTTCCCAAACATTTCTTGTTTATTGACCCACGTTCCTTGAAATACGGCAGAATGGAAGCAAGAAAATGTGAAATTCGGGCGTTAAATTTTCTGAGTTTGGTAAACATTTAAAACGAATAAAAACGTAACGCCAGCTATTTATGATTTATGTTATAAATCCTTACCACTATCATATTTATATACTTTCTTATGGTTTATTTTTCATAGTACCACATTTATCACTAGTTAAAAATCATCTTTGGGTCCGTCTGTCTTAATTTTTTACAATAATTCAACGAGAATGAAATTCTGAATGCAGAATCTTTTAACCGTTTCTTTTATTAGATCTGTATAATCGTAAAACGGTTTGTTTGTTGAGTGAACCGACCGGAAGTGAATAATTTCTTTCAAAACAGCAGTGATGGGCATCAAAACAACTGTCTTAAAGCAGGGCGAAAAAATAACAGAAACAATGACAGCCATAGACTAAGTCCAACAACACATAACTTTTGATAGAATAAAACACTAAATAACTCTGTTAATGTGGCCTAAGCTAAGATTAAAACTGTGTGAGAAAATTGGACAAACTGCCAAAATTCTGTATTTGAAATTGATACTTTCATCCATAAGCCTGTGAAAAAATAAAGCACCAATTCTGAACTTTATCATCTCCCTTGAAAGAACTCCCAAAATAATACTATAATTATGTAACATTTATTTATAGAAAATGTATACGTTCAAGGCAATAGATTAATTTGTTGAATTTTGTTTTGTTCTTTTTACAGAAGCAGACTGAACGAGACACAAGCCATTTTATATATCCGAGGTTTGAAAAACCTCCATACTCGTATATCGCCCTCATAGCGATGGCTATATCATCATCACCCGAAAAAAGACTGACACTGAGTGGAATTTATCAGTACATAATTGAAAGATTCCCTTACTACAGGGAAAATAGGCAAGGATGGCAAAATTCAATTAGGCACAACCTTTCGCTAAATGACTGTTTTATTAAAGTGCCAAGGGAAAGAGGGGAGGGTGGAGGAAAAGGAAGCTACTGGATGTTAGACCCGATCGCAGCTGCCAATATGTTTGAAAGGGGGAACTACAGAAGGAGGAAAACTAGGAAATCTAGAGAAATGCCCCATGTAAGCTTTCAAGAATGAAACGATGTACAAATTTTTATCTTAATTTTAAGACAATCCTAAAAACTATAAATGGAATAGCAAACAATCAATATTTTAATGGACAATATGAGAATGAATCGATGATCTATATAAAAGAAATTTAACTTTTCGAATATAAACCATTTTAACTCCTTCACACAGAATGTTAATATAAAATGTCTTAATTGAGTTGAGGGTCCCTCTAAAATGTACAACTGTACTAAAATCATTAGTGATTTTCAAGAAACCATATCAAATTTTTTTTTTTTTTAAATGCCAAAATTTGTATACCAATTGATTTTATACAAAAATTCATTTGTAACTTGTGATAAAGAAGGCATTGCAATTAATTATTATTATTATTTTCAATAATAATAAAACTACAAGATTATAGACAAGAATGAGATAAAGAGGATTAAAATCACTCATTGCCATGCGGTGGTATCGCCACTATCAAGCCTGTACAAACTAGATTAAAATTAGAGTTTATGTGATTTCCTAATTCATTATGGCTCAAGAAATAAGTTTATATAATAATCTAATTTCTACAGCCTAATGATGAGGACACAATGATTGATAATTTTGCATAAAAAGTTTGTAACTTTTTGTTAGAAGTAGTAGGAAACATGTTCTTACAAAGAGTTTGGGCTTGTATAATTCAATAAAACCAATAAATATTATTTTGTTCATTATAATACACGGCATGTATCTATGTAGTAACGAAACCTATAAACCATGGTCAGATTTTTTGTGATGATTTCTATCTTTGATCAAAAAACAAGCCTTCTAGTTTTTACACCTGGCAATGTATGAAATGTTTTCCCCTTGACGTGTTGCCTGCAGAGCACTCACACTGTTAGTACTTTTGGAATTAACATGCCAAGCGAGCCACTTACTCAAGTGAAACGACTTATTTCTATATTTAAAGACTTCCCCCTATTTAAGGGCCAGGAAACATTTTGGCGGTAGTCTGAAGGAGTGAGGTCAGGATGGACAGAGAAGCTCAAATCTATGCACTCTGGAAATATTTGACTTTTTATGTCAAAAAGTGTGTCCAGTTTGTTGACAGTTTATATTTAATCAAAATTATTATTAAATAGTGAATTTATAAATAAATCTGAACAAAACAAATGATTAATTAATTAAAAAAAAATAACACTGTGGACATCTAAATCAAATAAATAATTAATTGTGATTTTTCATGGGGTCTGCTGGGTAATGAACTGTAATTGTCATTATTAACCATTTTGAGGTCACGATGGATGGAGAAGCTCAATTCCCGATATTTAATCAATTTTATTAAACAGAGAAATTATAAATAAATCTGAATAAAATGAATTATTAAAATAAAATAACAAACATTTAAATAAAATTAATAAAAATTATTTAATTGAAAGATCTGTGGATGGGTGGATACATTATGGCATTTCACCATCTTCAGTGCTAGGTCTGGGTGATTTTGATCGTCAACGACCAAAATACCAATTTTCAGTTCAATTTTTTCATCTTTTGGCACACATTTTTTCTACATACAGGAGACCCTAGTTATCAAAGAGCTTATATAAATCACACAAAAAAAGACTTGGTATCACGCGAAACAATATTTTTAGAAAATTGGACTTAACTCTTATTTAAGCCATAACATTCTTTGTTTGTTGATTTAAAGTAAAATTTACCAATTAGTTTAAAAAATACCAATAAAACATTACTTAGGTAGACTGATGGTAAGCCTGTCAGACTTTTGGCACATAGACCATGCAGTTGAGGGTTCGATTCCACCCTTCAACCCTGGAATTTTCTTCCATGCTCTTTTGAATAGAGATATTGGGATATGAACATTAATACTTTCCAGGGGAATTGGTGGACGCAACGGTTTTAGTGTTGACACGGGGCTCAAGGTTACGGTAAAGATCCTGGGTTCAAATGCAGGGACGCTGGTTTCAAAACTATAATACCTACAAATGGAATTTTTTCCAAAACACCGGCACCCCGAGGAAAAATTACTTTCCAAGTTATGATTCCTTTCTCCAGTTGGTTATTGTAAAATCATACATAGAAAAATATAATCTATCTTAAAAAATCGTCAAAAAAGGTTGAAAATTCGGTCATGGCTTAATGGAATTGAGATACAATTAAGAAATTTTGATCTGCCCTGTACTAAAAACAATACACTATATTTTTGGTGATAAAAACAATATCAATGGATTTGAATTAGATATAATAAACTACTGCATATTAAATAGTGGTAATTTAATGTTATTAATAGATAATGGGAATTATGTTAAAAATGAAAATATAGTGGATAAAAGACTAGAAAAGTTAAAAAAATAAGTTAAAGTATGTAAACATTTGTTTCATTTTAAGCGTTTGGTTTTAGATTGGCTTTGACAAGAGCTTGGGTCTGCACAAGGTTGATCAACGCCACCAGTTAAACAGGGCGAGTGTCATCACGACGGCGACAAAGCCAAATATTATAACAATAGAAATTAGCACGGACCCGGACAACACAGTCACGCTGTCATCAAAGCAGGATTTGAAAACGACTGAAGTCAAACCGTCTCTTTTCACAATAGAAAATCTAATAAAACAAGAGACGCAAACACAAAGTGACAATTGAAAAAGAGAAAATAATTGAGAAACTTAGTCAATGTTTATGATTTTTTTTGTTATAAGATTAGTTTGTACATATTTTTTTTAATTTTTCATGTTTTAAGTTTTTTTGTAAATAAAGAAATGAGGAAAACATACTGTACATATGTATTTACATAGTCAATCTATCCGATGAGACAATTTAAATATAAATATTTATAAAATCCTACCTCATTTATTTCATTTTTAACTTCTTTTTTTTAATCTTAACTCCAGAAATTCAACCAAAATATATGATGTATGCTATTAATTAAACATATTTCTAAGTGTTTGTTGTTATCATTTGGGATCATTTTAATTATATCCTTTAAAATATGTGTACAGTTTAAGTCATTGTCATCTGAACGTTTTTGTAAGGCGTGTTGGTCAATACTGTAATATTTTGTTGAGTACTGTGAAATGATGATGGTATTTTATAAATTGTGTTCTGGTACAAACCAGCGAGTATAGACTGTCCATTTGTAACACTTTCTCACCCGTTGAAAACGTCAAAATGTAACATTTGACGAGCATACGGTTAATTATAGGCAGGCTAAGATCAGTCTTGTAACAAGTAAATTTGTAACAGGGAATACAGTCGAACTTCCCTAAATGGACACTTCTAATAATTAATAATAATAATAATTTGGGGGGTTTAAGGGCTGCCAAACAGCTGAGGTCATCACTGGTCCTTCCTGCATAATTTTCTTCTTCTGATTTTGTTTTTAAACACTACTAAGCTGGAAGCTGAGCAATGCGCCAAACCCAGAGACTATTAAATCACGGCATGCTGCTACAGCAAACTGTCAATAGGCATGATCCTGCCATAGCCGTGGCAGAGTACATCAGACACACCCAGCATCAGTAGTATTCGATATCATGGTTGTACCCACTTTATTCTGCTTATAACTTAATTTTAGTACCCTGAGATCACACAATCACCCTAGAGTATTTAATATTTATGCATTACTCTTGTATGACTTATGCATAGTCTTGTAATTATGGTTTTTTTTTACCAATCTGTGGACCATCATTCTGAACATGCCTGTTATTTTTCCCAGGCTCGGCGGTTTTTCCATTCTCCTTTTACTGTATTTGAAACTACTAGTTTTAATACAGGTTGAGAAGTGTCAAGGGTTTCAGGGTGCTTCTTTGCCCCCGTCTGCTTGTTTTTTATTTTGGCACCCACACCAACACGACCTTCTACATATCTGCATTGACCTCTTTAATTGTTCTTTTATTTTATTTATTAGAGCGTCTGCAAAGGCTCTTCTCCTGAGCTTCTGGACCACATTGAGTCAGTGCATAATAAAATTGTGGTTTTTATTTTTAATCATGCTTAGTGAGATGGATATGACGTTTAGTTCCGCCATGTTCACGCACATAGTGGGCGGGAGGTAGACATTTATAATAACCAAACATTCTAATAAACAGACATTAACAATTTTTCAGAGATGTCTGCGAAAAATTAAATTATTTGCCAGAAAAAAAGTCAATGTGATAAGTCAAGAGAAAAATAAAATTAAGAGTATGTGCACAATTCATTTTTTTACTTTATTATAAGCAGATAAAACCACATTCCTGAGTGGTGACCATTTATGGGAATTTCAACTGTAACCGTAAAAGATGATAAATCCAGTAAAAACAACAAATGTACAATAAACACCATGTATTGCCAATATAAACGAAATAATTATTTAAAAATCAAAATTGTAATCAAAATACGATTGATCGAAGCTCTGTAATCGGACGTAACCGTCTTCTCCTCCACTGGCGTAGCTCCGGCCATCAGGATGGAATGCTAAACTGTTGATTGGACCGAAATGTCCTTTGACGCGCCCAAACTCTTCCTCGAAAACTACATGGAAAAACCTGGCATCAAATTTACCGATCCTTGTCGACGTTGTCGTAACAAGAGAGGCTTCTTGACCACCACCAAGAACCACCTGTCAACAACAAATTTGTATAAATATCAGGGAAGATTTATTTATTTATTTTTTATTTATTTAATAAAATCAAATTACGTGTTCGTATAAAGGAGACAGTGAAGCGCTATTCACAGGCCTCTCTGTGTGGTAGGTTTTCAAATGAGTTAATTCCTCCGTATCAAATAATTTAGCTGTATGGTCACTTGACGCTGTTACAAACATCATTCCATCCCTGTACATCTGCATATCATTAATTGGGCCATTGTGACCATCAATTTGGTTAGTCAATTTTTCCATCTACAAAAACAAACCTCGATTATTAAATTTATTTGCATCTGAAACATTTAAAATCTAAAAGTATATCAATTTTAAAATGTTCACTGTCGGGATATAACTTAGAATGACATATGCTAAGTATAAAAAATTGTAATTGACAACTAGTTCTTTAACAATCTTATCTTTATGTTAATGAAACAATTTTGAGAATTGACAATACCTTTTTTATAGTTATATAAGACACTTACAGACTAACGACAATGCTGAGACCCTTTACGTTGTATAAACTTATACAATTTGCAAATAAAATTATTATTGTTGAGGTAATTGGCGACCGAAACACAATAAACTTTATTGCCGGTAATCATTTCTTACAAATTATGGTTCAAGTTGGAATTCAACAAAAACAAATATAAAAATAGAATTGCTTAATCAATGATAAATTAATAAAAATAAACTAAGAGCAAGTTCACTAAAAGAGAAACTTCAAGGTGATAATGTCCTTTGTCACTCGGTTGGTCATGACACCTTTATTTTACAAGAAGATAAAAATAAAATAAATTTGTTTAAGAGGGTCAGCCAATTCTTAGTTTCTTTTTTTTAATCCCTCTTTTCTTTCTTTGATATCTCGTGAACTAACAGAATTTATTTTAGAAGCTGTTCAGTGTTAAAAAAGTCCTTCAAAAAATGCACTTCATAAAAATTGCTTGATGTTTCTTTTTCACAAGAACGGTTTAACTTTAATCATCTTAATTTTTCAGGGCCTGAATTTTATACAAATAAAAATTTTATAAAAATAATTTTACAAAAAAGCACTCAACAAACCTTTAATATTTTGCCCTTGTTAATTAATGAACAGAAGCCAAGACAAAGGAACAGTAAGGTTCAAAATATCACTTTCATTTGAATTTTGACGTTTTGAGTGCGATTTTTGCGACATATTGTCTTGATGGTGCCAAGCGCTACTGTCGATGTTGAGATACTTCTGTCGGATAGCAGGGATTCTATTATATTGGGATTTATGCCATTCTGATCTGTGTAGACCTTTTAATTTTTAAATCGAGCACTTACTGAGTTCAAATTTGCCAATCTTTACATCAAATGAAAAATCTACTTTAATTTTTTTTTTAAATTAACATTCTTGGCCAAAATGTTTAAACAATTTTTATGAGCACTTCTGGTGCTCGAAATTGCAAATCTTTTGCACAAAACGAGGCCAAAAATCTAGTTTAATTTGAAAATAAAATTTTGAATAAAACCCATTACATTTCGTGGTCCGATTGACCAATTAACTTTTTTCAATTAATTAATATTTGTGGAAAGTATTGGTTGAGATAAAAAATTCAGTGTCATGAGCGGGATTCGAACCCACCATCTTTGGCTAAATATGCCGCTGCTCTACCACTTGAGCTATTGTGACTTCGATCCGCTCAGACACTAACTTCCCATATCAACCCCACCTTTTTGAATTTTGAAAAATGGCAAAAAGGAGGGAAAATTCGAGAAGTGAGGTTGAGATGGGAAGTTAGTGTCCGAGTGGATCGAAGTCATGATGGCTCAAGGGGTAGAGCAGCGGCATATTTAGCCAAAGATCGTTGGTTCGAATCCTGCTCGTGATACTGATTTTTTTATCTCAACAAAGACCTTTCATAAATATTAATTATGAATAAAAATAAAAACTTGGTCAAACATGTTTTGAGCAATTCCAGTGTCCATAAATGCATATATTTTTACACTGAACAAAGCAAAAATTCATCGTTTAATTTTTTTAAATATTAATAGAAATTAATTTGGTAAAAATTGATAGAAATTAATTTGGTAAAAATTAATAGAAATTAATTTGATAAAAATTAATAGAAATTAATTTGGTAAAAATTAATAGAAATTAATTTGGTAAAAATTAATAGAAATTAATTTGGTAAAAATTAATAGAAATTAATTTGGTAAAAATTAATAGAAATAATTTGGTAAAAATTAATAAAAATTAATTTGGTAAAAATTTATAAAATTTTTCTTAGCACTTTCCGAATTAAAATTGCAAATCCTTCATCCTAGCTATGCAAAAAAATCTAGTTTAACAATAATAATTTTAAAAGGTTAGGCTAAGTTTGAATGCTGCAGCAGTTGTGGAGCCTTTTCACCACATGCACAGGGGTGTAAATACAAGTAGAAATCAAGTAAAAAAAAAAAAAATGTGGTAAAAACGCGAAGAAAAAACTTTTAACACTAAAACTGGTTGATCCGCCCAGCAGATGCACAGTGCTTTTTCTGTAGATAATATGCCCAATCATATCCAACAAGGCCTGAGAGCCATACCAAAATAAATAAATTAATTAATTAATTTCATAAAAATTTCTATTATCCCCCAGGACACATATGATAAAATAAACGTAGTCCTACCAAAGGTAGCAAAATGTAATAATTACTCTTACAAGTAAATCATATAGGCATATGAGTTGGCAAAGTTATGTAGCATTTTTTGTGAATAGGTGAAGACTGTCCTATTAATAAATAAGTCCACTTTATATATTGTGCATATTATCTATGTTATACTTAATATCCACTCTCGCATTTGACAAACATCTATAAAAATAGCAAATAGCAATAATATTCGCATAGTCATCTCACCCTGATATCCCACTGTGTTATTTTCCCATTCTCATGGCCTGTTACGATTTTTTCATTCAAAGATCCCCATTGAAGTGCGGTTACTTTGGAATCAGGTACAGGTATGGAAAGTATTGGTTCTGCACCTTAGAATGCACAAAAAAATTAATAAAAAGAAAACTTAATGAAAATTTACTGATATAGCAACAAACCTTGTGAATCGGCTGTCCTTACGTCAATTAATACAATTTCACATATCTGTTTCCTTTGGGTATCAGTAGAAAATGCGACCAAATTACCGCAATAGCTAAAAACGCATGTCCTCACGGTAGACTTTGCTTCAACATTTGTCATTTCCTTACCTGAAAGAATAATTTTTTATTATTTTTTATTGTAAATCCATATCACTAAAATACATTTTTTTAACTTTTACTAACCATTCGAACAGTCCCATATTTTTAACATATTGTCACCAGCTCCGGTAACAAGTTTATCTGTGTCCCAATCCACATCTAAGCACCACACTGCACCAGAATGTCCTTGAAACGTACCAAGACGCTCTCCGTTGAGAGAGTACCAGACATTCGGGGCTGTATCCTTGGCAGCGGAGAAAAGAAGATCTCCCTCTCTGTTGTATTTGATTTGTGTGATTGGACGTTCGTGTCCATGAAGCATAAGTGGTTTCTACAACAAATTGACATTATTATTAATAACATCTATAAATAAAATTATTTCAATACATCATGACATCATAACTAAAACTTCATTCCACAGAAATCACCCAAACTCATTACTGAACATGGCCGTTCTATTATAAATAGTACTTGACTATTTTTTTTTCTGTTTCTTTTTTGTATGCATTAAAATGCAATGTATTTATTAGCATGAATGTAAAATGTGAAAGGGCTGATATGGGAAAACTGTGTGCCCCATCAACTTTCAATTAGATTAGTTATATAGTTTGCATAGTTGGTCAGTGAAAGGGTATAAGAAGAACAAAATTACCAGTATTGACCAAATTAAAGGTTCATCAATGCATACCACAGGAAGAAATTTCACACAGTGTAAAGAAGGAATATCCAGTACTTCACCACCATTCTTTTCAAACTGATACACTCATAGGAAAAGAGATATTTAAGAATGTGCACAACACTGAACATAGCGAAAAGCCGAACTTTGTCAGACTGACAAAAATCACTGAGGAAGGCAGACCAAGATGAATCATAACTATCAAATTAAAGGTTTATCACACCACAGACCAGGAAGAAATCTTGAAGACAGAGTGACAAGCCAATAAACATTTTTTTTTTAAATACAAAAAGTGTCAATGGTTCGTCCTTCTAGAATTAACTCGTAATGAATTATGCCCTCATAAATGCAAAATACAGAGACTATTGTCTTTTTGTTGAAGTGCCCTTGTTTGGTGACTGGTGGAGCAGGCTGATTGAAGTCTAGCCATTTTTTTGTTGTGGGGTTTCTCCAATATATCCACTTTTCACCACAATTATTCTTTTATTCTTTTGATGAACCGAAGGTCATTTGTATTTTTCAAAAGATGTTGACAAATTTCTACTCAGCGTCATACCTGCTCAATGGTCAACTTGTGAAGAACCACACATAATGAGCGATTCACTTTCCCCAAGGTGTGCAGTCCTAAAACCATTTATGGTGGACTGGGAAACTCAATGCTATCTTGCCAATTCCCGAGTACTTTTTGTTGGGTCTGCCTCAACTGAGTTCCACAGAGCTTCCTCGTTGTGTGACGATTTTCATCTAGAACCCTATTTCCTCTCGGCTTTAAATTTCTGGAACCAACTGCATACAGTCCGTTCAGAGATAGCATCCTCTTCTTCAAGTTGTCGCACCAAACGGAAGGTAGAAAACTTACATATCAATAATAATATTTGCATAATATACAAAAATTTCAAATTTTAAGTGTTGTTTAACCAAACTAAGACAAAACTGAAGGTAGCAAGATGAGTTTTTTACACATTAATTTAGTATAGACTATGGATTAAATGTGTGTCAAATCTGATTGCATTTGAAAAACCAATAAAGCCTGCAGGGGATTACAAATTCCAATAAAATGAGATCTGTCAATTTTTATTACTCGCCCTATTACATATACTTTATTACCCTTGTAATTACAACTCTCTGATGCAGGTTGCCTAACACCTTCTCTAAAATTCAAAATTTAAAGGTGCACATGCAGGATTCTCTGAATGACGAGCAAAGGTTCGCCGAATCCCGACTAATGGGTATGGATGTCGATTATTTGCTGATCAACAATAGTGCTCGCCTTGCTCAGTTAATCGTTGCTTTTCTAGTCAAAAGTGCATGAATATTCGTGAAGTAGCCGAACTCAAAGCATCCACACATTCGGGAATCAACTGTACTGTATGTAAATCAACTGTAATCACCAATCAATAGTTATTATTTAATTATATTTATCGCTATTTATTTCTTAATAATAAACAATTCCTAACTAGTATAGATGTATTAATGAAAGAACAACATAGCACTGTTTCTGTAGGTTTATAATAGATTAGCCCAACAAAGCAGTCTTGAAGTTCCTCAAGCAAGCTGAACCAATAATTTAGATTCTCTTCCAAATAACAAAAACCAGAAAAAGTTTTTCGATGCGTGGAATTGGATCGAAATGATGATGAGACAACAGCACTCTACAACTGAGTTTGTAGCCACTACTTGAAACAGTAACCGCAGCTTCACTGTTGTCCTTCATGACTGATAGTAAGTTGACAACTCGCACCGCACTTAGCGAATATTCACTGTTTCCGCACGAACTGGGTGTTGTAGATGCATGTGTACGTAGGCATGCTATTTGGCGATGCTGAGACAAGCATCTCGAGACTTGGCAAATATTCAGCGGCAATCGGCATTCGGAAAAATGTCTGGAGCCATCTACAGATTTATCCAGATTTACAATCAAGCTAAATTGATCACAAAAGCCTCTATTAGGTTGTTATTTCTTCGAAAGTTTTCGACTTTATCAGCTAGGATTACTGTATCTACATTAATGCTACTAATAACTTAAATCTATCATAGCAGATTTATTCTAAACGAACTAAACGTTAATTTAGCATAAATCACGATGTGAGGACATAAAAGTAGATTTGCCTGTTCGACTAAGCATATTGTAATCCACCATACAGTATATTTACAACTAAAACGCTTGCATTATAAGAGTGTTTATGTATTTACATGTGTTAAATATAGGATAAATAAAACGGATAAATATTTTTACCATGTTTACGATTTCGATTACGACTTCGTTACCATCCGCCGAAATGTACAGTAAAGAAACTACTTAAACACGTTATGCCACTCCTGTGAAATAGGTTAACATTGAGGTAACGTTGGAAGGGTTTCGTTTGGTTAACAGTTTTTTCAAATTTTCCCTTTTATATTGACTTATTTTTTTAAATATATTTTTTCGCACATTAATTAGCAATATAAATTAAACGTATTCTTTTCAACAAAAGGCTATATTTTTCGTAGAGAAATAGTTTCATTCTATAGTTAGAAATAACATAGCAGCAGAATTGCTAAATCTACCCAAACACCAGGTGCCTGACCATGTATACCTACAACACCATATTAAAATATAAAAAATAATATAAAATATATAAGATAAAATACCATGAAAAGTTAGATTATAAATTACTACTATTAATCATAACTATTACTATTATACTAATTAGCATTTGTCTGCAGGGTCATGCATTATATCTAATCCTTTGCTCCTATCCCACAGGACGATTCTTCTGTTCAGCAAGCGTCAGACCACTCCTTTGACACTCATTTTCATTATTTTTCATACAATATATGTTTAAGTCTTTTATTTTATTTTTTTATGGGCCAAAAACCCAATTCTTAAAAAAGTATATAAAAGTAAGGAGAAAAACAACAACATATACAATACAGTGCTTATACTAGCTCAACATTACTAAAAACTAAAACACTATACTATACATCAATGAAAAAGACAATAAAATCCTTATAAATAAAACAACAAAGATATAATTAAACACCCTGCCTATATAATTATAATGACTAGGAATAATACAAATATTATAACAAAGCATTATAACTATATACATAGTACATTTTTAGGTTTGTTTAGCTAAATAAAATTATTACGGTTTTAATGAGTAAACAGAAGTATTAAAAAAATGAACAGTATAGCTATGTTGTTCCATTCTATCATCATGCAATGCATCGAGGAGTGTAGTGAAAAATCTGTTCCTTTATATACAATAAAAAATATTTTCTTATTTATGAGGTGGCAAGGTGGTACATAAAATTGGAGTTTACCAAAGATTTCTGGGGATTCTATACATTTATTAATTAATTTGAAAATAAAAATAATGTCAAAATACTTTCTTCTGCAGCTAAGTTCGGAAATCTTGAAGTAAGACTGAATGGGACTCCATGATAGGATTTATCATTGTGACAAATTTAATTTCAAATATAATGTACGAAGGAATTTATTTATTTTATTTTTTTTAGAAGTTTTATTTCATCATTTTATATCTATATAGTGTACTAGTTCGGATTCAAGATGATTGAGGCTTATTCAAAAATAGTTCGAACAAGTGAATTATATAGATGGATGTAGCAAGAAAGATATTTGAACTGAAAGGTTCTTTGGATTATGAAGCTAAGCGTTTTAAAGGAGCGATTTTTGACTTCTTGTAAATGTAGCTTAAACGTAATTTATCTATCAAACATGATGCCAAGATCTCTAATAAAAGTTACTCTGGTTAACAAGCTGTGATTAATGATATAAGAGTGGAAAATAGATTTTTTGTAAAAAAGAAAGATAGTAAACATTTAGAATTATTTAAGAATAGTTGGTTAGTTTGACACCAATTGTAAAAATTATTGAGAGCGTTTTTTAAATTAAAGCTATCAAAGGCAGAATAAATTGTTGTATATATTGTTATCATTAATGAATAGGAGAAAGAGAAAAGGACCAAGATGGGATCCTTGTGGCACACCAGATAAAACAGAAAAGGGAAAAGATCTAAAAGAACTGATATCAACTATAAATAACTATGCAGCCAGAGCTGTAGATTTCCAGATATTCCATCAGCTTCTAGCTTTATGTTTGTATTGACAGTAGTTCAAGTCATCCCTATAAATCAATTTTTGATGTGTACAATTTATAAATTATAATTTACAATTGCTGTATAGATGTGAGTATACTGGTGTCCAATGTGGAATGTATGCTTTATTAAATAATAATAAGTATCCAATAAGTACAATCACACTCCTTTTTAACTAAAATTATGGAGAATCATATCTACTTTGGTAGCATAGAAGTAGAATTCATCAGCTTGAGCCAAATTGGCAATAGTTTCTAACCTAATTAAACTAGCAATATTTATAAAAGTATGAGTACTTTTTAAAGAATATTACTACTGTTTTGAAAAATTCTGTGCAAAATAAATTTCATAAGTTGGATTTTTATTTATCTAAGTATGCAGTATTTACATTTCTTTATAAAGAAATATATATTTTATGTAAATAGAAGTTGAAAATTATCCTTACTGAAAGAAAGAATGGGCACACTGCTTTCATTCAATCTGATTTTTCTTCCTCTTCATTTTCATATTTATAAAAATATTTATTCCTACATTTTATGAGTAGTAAAAGGAAGATTTTGTTTTATTTTTATTAATATTTAGTTTATTGATTTTTTGGAGGGATAATTGCTAAAATAAGGGAAAGGACAGCCTGCTACCCATCTCCCACCCTGTTACACTTACATCTACAGCAATCCCACAACTGTTATAGTGCAACCAAACGTTCTCCGGTTTGGAAATAGTTTTGACTATGACCCATGAGATAGTTCTGCGTACCTTTGACTTCTAATTCCAGCAACGTTCGATCGAAATTTGTACGTAGTTCGAGATATAAATAGAGTAAAGAAGTAGCTAGTCTTTGTGTTGATTCATTGACTTTTTCCATGAGAAAGATGGATTTGGCTGGTCGAGATATGCATCCAAAAATGATGGACAACCTCTACACCGCTTTGAGCTCTATCAAAGTTTTAAGATGCACAGTTGGTCAGATATTCAGTGCTTTGGCGAATGGAGTGAGGGCTGATCATTTTTCAGGGGAGGAAAACAAAGAGGCCAAATTTGTAGCAGAGATTGATGATTTGCTCAACGCCATCAGCCAGCAATTAAGGTACAAATTTAACTCATTTTACTACAAAACAGTCGAAAACTAATAATAATAAAATATTAGGGAAGTAGATCAAGCCGTGGCAAATCTCCAGCAGCCGACAGGTCCGTTCACCTTAGGAAACACTTCTTTTCTGAGTCAAGAATGCACTTTAGAAAGGCAAGGGTTGTATGGGCGGCTCGTACTTAGCTATAAGTGGACCGATAAGGTAATTCGATTTGCGTAAACAATCGTATTTTTTTTTCACTCATTCTTTTCATTGTAGATTCACGAATACAGTGCTCAAGCAGCGACGCTTCTGAGTCAAAACTCGCTGAAAAGGACCTATTATTCTGGAAGCACGAAGCGAAGAAGGCCTCTGAGCTCGCACAATGTACCACCACAGTAAGTTTTATATTTGTTATAGATATAGGCTATATTGGCCGCAAGGCTTGGCTATATTTTAATGCAATTAATTAAGGTTTTTTTGTTTGTTTTTTAAGTTGAGATAAAAAATTCAGTGTCACGAGCGGGATTTGAACACACTACCTTCGGCTTGATACACCGCTACTCTACCACTTGAGCTATTGTGAAGTCACAATAGCTCAAGTGGTAGAGTAGTGGCGTAACAAGCCGAAGTTCGTGGGTTCGAATCCCGCTCTTGACACTAACTTTTTTATCTCAGCTTAAAAAAACCCTTAATTAATTGAATGATATTAATTGGTCAAGTGGACCACAAAAAATAGTGAATTTAATGGACTATGTTTTAATGTTGAGGCTTCAACATGACAACAGTATNAATAATTCAATGATCTGCGCGATGCCCTCCATATATATTCAATTTACCATACACATTTTTTTGAAATGAAAAATTTGTGCCACAGGCAGGATTCAAACCCACATTCTTCAAATAAATAATTCAATGACCTGCCACTTAAGTTACCGTGACTAAATTTAGCTAATTGGAATAAATGGGGAATCGAAACGAGAATTTTGTGCTGGTCATGGTAGCTCAAATGGTAGAGCAGAGTAACCTGTGGACAAAATTAATACACAACACAAAAATAGAGATATATAAACTTATGGCAAGGATCATCAATTATTTGTAGAAAACAGCCGGTGTGCACACTGTCAAATCTGATTCTACGAAAAGCACTCATACAGAAAAGTGTCGATTGCCCCTTAAACAAGTCAGAAAAAAGTGAAAAGGACATGTAGAGATGTTCCACATAAGCTTACAGCAAGCTAAACTTAAATTATATTCCATTAGATTTCGTGGTCTGATTGGCCAAATAACATCTTTCAACTAATTAATCTTTATATAAATTATTGGTTGAGATAAAAAAAGTCAGCGCCACGAGTGGGATTCGAACCCACAACCATTGGCTAAATATGCTGTTGCTCTACCACTTGAGCAGCGGATAGCCAAAGGTTGTGAGTTCAAATCCCGCTCGTGGCACTGACTTTTTTATCTCAACTAATACCTTACATTAAAATGTAATTTTGATTTATGAAAAGAATGAATTTATTGTTGGCCTTATACTAAAATATTGGAACAAGGGATAAATATCCACAATTATTTTGATTCTATAATGGCATTTCCAAGCTCTATTCGGACAAATGTTGTAAGCATGGTGTTTTATCCTCCTTGTATGAATAAGATGGAAGTTATGCTTTATATTCGTCAAGTTCATCAGTTAAACGTTTATATGAAAAAATAAATAAGTAAATACTACCCTTATTTTATATTTCAATGCTGACCTCGTTCCCATTTGATTATAGTACCAATATTTTATTACCATGATAAGCCACCTATACTATCTAAATTCAATTTTACATCATAATATTTAATATCATAATGTTATTGTTACAGAAATGTTGACTCTTTGCTTTCGGCAATCGACAGGCAATATTCAGACATGAATTTTTCAATTTCAAGGCCTTTTGCTTCTAACGCTGTCGTCCAGGTAATGTTTGAATATATATATTCAATAGTGGCCATTATTGTAATTGTGGTTGGCTTTTATTTTAGATTCAATTGGGAAGAGTTCTGCAGGCAGCGGTTGCTTTCAAAGGGCTTATGATAGAGTGGGTCGTCGTAAAAGCAACTGGCGAAACGATCGACTTGTGGACCGAATCGAGGCATAAAGTGTTCAGAAAGATAACGGAAAACTGTCACGCTGCCATGTTACATTTCTCGTCACCCACCCTACCCGAAATTGCCGTTAGATCTTTTATGGTGAGCATTTAATTAAATGCACTCAAAGGCTACTCGTATTTTGTTGTTTATCTCAAACTATACATTTTTTTTTTGTATTAATTACAGTATACTTATTTTAATGTAAACCAAATTAAACAAGATCAAAAATTCATGAGTTTAATGAAAATTATTTAATTATGATGGTGACATTATGACTTTTTTTGCAGACTTGGTTCCACAGCCACATAACTCTTTTTAGCGATACTTGCAAAAGATGTGGAAATCATTTACACTGCGCATTACCGCCGACTTGGAGGGATTTCAGATCTCTGGAGCCATTCCATGAAGAGTGTAAATCATAAGTAAGAAACGTAACACAAAACCGTTTGTAAATATTAACTTTTTTAATATTTGCTACATAATATTTGTATTTTTGTACATAATATAAAATGAAGTAATTTGCAAAAACATTTATTAAAGTGATTTTAATTGTTATCTTAAATTATCTTCCTTTCTCGTAAAGACTGCAAGTCACAATAGTTTATTCCCAAAAATTGTGAAATTTGTATTATGGTTAGTATTTATATGACCTTTATATATCAAAACAAGACCATTCAATAGAACTGTTCTTGTTAAAATTTACTTTACTAAAAATAAAAGTTTATTTATTTTTAATTTAATTTATTGAAAGTTGGTGTTTCTTGTTTTAACATTTTTTCTTCTTTTCTACACAATCTTCTTTCTTAAAAATTAAAAAAATAATAAAATCTGATAACTTATAAAAATAAGTTTGTTAAAACCAAAATTTTTATTTAAAAAATAAGCAATTTATTATTTGTTTTATCTTTAAAAGTTTTCCATTCCTATTTTAAATTCCGATGTGACTAATACGATATCTTTATGATTTTTTTTTAAAAGCCATGAATGATTGTACATTCTATTACAATCCTTTATGATTTTATAACTTTTTTGTATTTTTAGTCATATTTGCTTCACTATAAAGATATAAATCTCCGTAATAAATATGATAGTCGGTTAAGAATTGATTAGTAGACATAAATTATGTTAAAATCCCACAGTGATAGTAGTTAATTGTATTAACTTGTATTGTTTGAAGGAGCATAATTTTTTTTCAAAACACCGGTACCCCTGAGGGTTTATATAACTCCGCAGTTCAAATACCCTCATTAAAAAAAATATATAAAAAAATTAAAAATAAATAAATAACAAAAAAATAATTTTTAATTAATTAAGGTTTTTAGTTGAGATAAAGATTGAAAGATATATTGGTCAAGCGGACCACAAAAACTAGTAAAAAT